GAGAAGTGCTAAACAAATCACAATTCTGAAAACAAAATAACAAATTACAAACGCAAATGCAAGACTAAAAAACAAAATAACAATTCAGAAAGCACAACAACAATTCAGAAAACACAATGACAAATTCGAAAACAAAACAACAAGTCAGAAAACACAACGACAAATCAGACAAACCGGAAAAGGTAGGTATAGTTTGAGACAGCGCCATTGGTTTGGGATTACTCACCGCTGACTGGACGAGACATCTGGAATAAAAAATGCGGGATCGAACCCGGGTCGATCGCGTCAAAAAGCCAACCACACGCGCTTATCCATCTGCGCCACTGGAGCTGATGATTTAGAGCTACTTTTAACTAAATGTAAATAGACACCCTGTATTTTTTATTCCATAGTAAGGGCAATTCATACAATACATTTAAATGAGCTACTTTAATACCATCTCCGAACTTTCTACCACGACTCTGCTGTTCTTCGACTGGTTCTTCCTGTATACGTTGATTGACAGATGTCTCGTCCAGTCAGCGGTGAGTAATCCCAAACCAATGGCGCTGTCTCAAACTATACCTACCTTTTCCGGTTTGTCTGATTTGTCGTTGTGTTTTCTGACTTGTTCATTTGTTTTCGGATTTGTGTTGTGTTTTCTGACTTGTTATTTTGTTTTCGAATTTGTCATTGTGTTTTCTGACTTGTTATAATGTTTTCTGAATTGTTGTTGTGTTTTCTGAATTGTTATTTTGTTTTTTAGACTTGCATTTGCGTTTGTAATTTGTTATTTTGTTTTCAGAATTGTGATTTGTTTAGCACTTCTCGGCCACCGTACAGAATAGTTTCTATACTGTAATAAATGCTATGACAATTAGCAGGGCATTGTTCATATACTTTATTTATTACCTGGAGATGACTTGACAAACACAAATAAACCATATATTGTGTATTGTCGCAATCGTATATTTAATGTCTTAATGTTTCCAAACGTTTCTGTTTTTCTGTGAAAAAAACTGTTTTCATACAGCGATAGCTGGACGCTTTTGTCCATTTCCTCGTACAACTTTCTGCGCGAGAGCGCCCTCCGGCTTCGAGTATGATTGAAACATACACTGCACATAGTGTTTAGCGCTCCGCGATGTTCATCTCGCCTTAATCTGCGTCCGAATAAAACATCAGATCATGCACAGACTATATTGTCTCTTTGAATTTAAATCTATATTTATTCACACCGGCTCTTGAAAACCTCTATGCGAACACACTTGCCTGAAAAAGTGCGGGGGACGAATTTACGTGATTTTAAAAGTGGGGGGGACACGTCCCCGCGTATTCTACGCCCCTGATAAGAAGGAAAAATGACACAAACAACTGCCATGCTGCCAAATAGTCAAAATAATTTTTCATAGTTTAATTGTTTCTTATAGCCTCTCATATAGAGTCTCTAGATTTTTGTTACAGTAGTAAATATCCAACTTGTTTTGTATGTCTCAAATAACCTCTAGTTTATTATGGTACTGTTATGTGGGTAAAAAAAAAAAAAAAACTGTGGTAGCAGAGCACTAGTTTGACAGCAACATGTATGTTAATGGCACTTCTATTTAAAGTGCAGATGCTTTCAGTTATATTTGTGAAGTGTTAAACATGCACACAGATCTGATCTACTTACCCTTTCTCTGGCATTTCTTGTGTTGATGATTTTAGCAGCAAGTCTCATCCCTGTCTTAGTCTCCGTACATTTGTGCACTTTGCCAAAGCGACCACTGATGATACAGATATTTAATACGGTGGTAAAAAATGTCAAAGGTGCTAAATAAATAATTGTGAATGCTAACAGTTACAGTAAGCAGAAATGATCATCTCACCCTCCCAGCACTTCTCTGGTGTGGATACTGAAGGTATCACTGGGTGGAGGGTTAGACTTCAGCGACACAAACCGGTGATTGAAAGGCGCGGGCTGAGGTGAAACATCATCTGAAAAGAGCCAGGAGGACACTTTTTACAAGTCTTGTTCAAACAAGTGGGAATCTTTGGTCAGCCATCACTATGAGACATTCATGGTGTTGATATCTGATCTATAATGCTCTTCATGTTGGGTTGGAGTGGGAACAGCTGCGGGAGAGTGGATGATACAATAATGTGCCATAGACAAAGGATTATCATACTCTAGATACTTCAGATTTCTAAGGTCAGGCTATACTAGAGGCCTCCTGTCACCCCTTTAACCTTTGAAAACAAATTCACACAAGCACTGTGTCTCACTGTGATTCGGTGGTTATTTTATTCTCTTCTGAAAACAATTTACTGAAATTGTCAATTACACTTGAACTTGATTTCCTTTGAAATTATTTATATATTTTTAATTCGTTTTTATTTGATTATGAACATAGAACAAATTAAAAAAAAACAAAAAAGCCTTACCAATAACTTTAAAACATGCTTTAGGAGGGTTATTGCTCTTCGTTTGTACTGGATTCTTGTCTGTAGCTGGAGTTATTTTAATCTGTATTCCACCTGAAACATGGTTTGCGGCTATGGCTGCTTCGGTCCCTTTATTAGCCAGAGGTGTTGATATTGTGTGGACCAAATCTGCCTTTCCACCAGTGACCTGTAATCTATATAAGATGAAATCATTGCTATTTATAAATCTATACACACACACACA